GTTCACTACATATGGTGCTGGGGATTGAACCCGGGGCTTTGTGCATACTGGGCGAGCACTCTGCCACTGAGCTACACTGCAGCTCAATAGTTCAGCTACTTTTAACTGAGCAAACTCAGTAGCTCAGTTTGGTAGCTCTACACAGCTCTTCAGATGTATGAACATTTTTATTCTGGTTGTGTTTCAGTGTTATGTGCTGGCTTTGCTACAGATCAAATTTGCACAAATTGTATTGCTAGCTCAAGACCAAGTAATTCAGATGTGCCGTGCGCCCCTCATCCAAGGGGTCTGTCTAATCTCCAGGCAAAACAAGTGCAGGGCGCCTTGAGGTGACCGGGAATAGAGCTCCCCTGATCTCTTACCTGGAAGGACTGATTGTAAGAGCATGTGAGGGGGTAGGGGAGACAGAAAGAAGTCTCTGCAGGTGTGTCACCGTGGCGGCAACAGGGGACACCCGGGCTGCACTGTCAGTGGCTGCTCTGGTAACACACTGCAGTTCCTAGCTGTCCCAAAGCCCACCATCCCATGCCTCCAGCACTGGCTCTCTTGTGCTGCTCCTGTCCCGACTGTGTCTAGTGAGGAGGTTTCATTGCAGACTGCTCAGGTGCCTTTTGGCACAGGCTCCCTTGGGATGATCAGCCTGGAAGATCTATATTTGGGTCAAGTCCCAGCTTATCCCTGACCATGGCTGCTCAAAGGACCCAGCATGGCATGTCTGTTGGTGACTGTTACGGTTTGAATATGGACTGGCTTCCACAGGCTCATGTTTTGAATACTTAACCCCTGCTGGTGGCACTATTTTGTGAAGTTTAGGAAGCTCTAAGAAAGCAAGGCTTAGCTGGAGGAGGTAGGTTACTGTGTTGGTGTACTCTTTTTTTTTTTTTTTTAAGATTTATTTATATTATGTATACAATGTTCTGTCTGCATGTATGCCTGCATGCCAGAAGAGGGTGCCTGAGCTGATTATAGATGGCTGTGAGCTACCATGTGGTTTCTGGGAATTGAATTCAGGACCTCTGGAAGAACAGCCAGTGCTCTTAACCTCTGAGCCATCTTTCCAGGCTGTTGCATACTTTTAAAAAACTTTTATTTACATTTTTTTGTACCTCTTTCTCCCTATTCCAACCCAATCCCTTCCAACACCCCAACACCAGGTAGGAGAGAGAAAGGGTTAGTGGGAGAGGGGACACAGTTCTCTTAGCTGCTTCCTGCTGGTTAGGGTCCTCGGGTTCCGTGGAGCCAGTGCAGTCCTCATTTCTGGAGATCTCCAACATCTTGTCTCACTGCAACAACAGCAGTAGGAGCTGAAGAGGGGGAAGCAGCAGCAGCCTTGTTCTTTCTCGGAGCCACCACACTCTCTGGGCTCTGGCATTTATTCTGTTTCCAGAGTCCTCAGAGTTAAATTATCTGCAGCCGGCAAAGAGCTCTTCTCAGAGCCCACATGAGGCAATTAGTCTGCTGTTGTGCACTGTCTGAATCAGTCCCACATCCCACACCTGGAATGAAAACAAAAACATGTTTATATCCACAGCATTACTGGGGTGAGTGGGAGTTTCTCTGGGCACACAGGCATATGTTTACATATGCACAAACACATAGACATATACAAACAGGTACACACTGTCTCAGGGTTTCTATTGCTGTGAAGAGACTCCACGACAACAGCAGCTCTTATAAAGGAAAACATTTAATTGGGGCTGGCTTACAGTTCAGAGGTTCCGTCCATTATCACGGTGGGAAGTGTGGCAGCGCGCAGGCAGACACGGTGCTAGAGAGGTAGCTGAGAGTTCTCCATCCTGAGCTTCAAGCAGCAGGAGACTGTGTGCCACACTAGGCCAAGCTTGAGCACCGGAGACCTTTAGACCACTCCCACAGTGACACGCTTCTTCCAATAAGGCCACACCTCCTGATTGTGCCACTCTCTCTGACCAAGTAGTCAAACGCATGGGTCTGTGGGGCCATTCCTACCAAACCACCACATACACAAACACATATGCAGGGGTCTTTGGTGCCACCACGGCCGCAGGAGGCAAGAAGGCAGGTCGGTTTAAGATGACGGAGTATCCAGTGTTGGTTCGAGCTTCAGGAGTCTGACCCCAAGCAGTTTATTGTAGGCCTGTTTAGGCACAGCACAACTTAGTGAAAAGTTTCCTGGTGATGATTAACTCAATCCGGTGTGCACAATAAAGCACAAAGTGAGCTAAAGATCGGATGTGACGACAGAGACTCCCTTTCATAAAGATTGGTTGTATAGACTGACTGTGGAAGACACATTTATGAGAATGGGTCTGGGGGGGGGGACCCGGTGTTGTTTCAGTGCTACACATACACACAAACACACACACACACACACACACACACACACACACATCCTGAGACAGGGTTTCACTGGATAGCTTTGGCTGGCCTCCAATTGACAGAGGTCTGCCTGCCTCTGCCTCTGGAGCCCTGTGTTCTAAGTGCCAGCCCAGCACCCTGGGTCTGGAGGGGAGCAGCATTCGTAAGGAAGGATGAATGTGCACATTCCCCTCTCATTCTTTGTGTGTGGGTACCTCAGATCTTTAGGTGGTGGGCAGGGACAGCAGTGTGCCAAGTAAATCCTGCCAGACGGGACTTGTAAAAATGAGACAATTGTCACAGGAGGAAAGGTAAGGAAGTGTGTTCTTGTGCACTGCAGCTGAAGAGAGAGGAGGCTGGGTGCCGGCTGAGGTGCCTTACACTGTGAGCTGTGATCCGGGCTGTTGAGGTGTTATCTTCAGGGTGTCCTGGAGATCAGGAGGGCCCCACGCATGCCAAGTGGCTCCCTGTTGGTGGAAGAGCATGCCTGTTGCTGTTTTGCCAACACCACAGCTTTGACGTAGGTCTGGCCATTCACCTGTGTGATGCGGAGGACTCCCATCCTGAGCTGCACCGCTTTCTGACGCCATCTGACAGGGTGAGCCCACTGCCGGAGGCTTCCTCCGGACCATACAGGGAACACTGGAGCCCTGTGTGAGCTTTGTCTGCCACAGATGGCTCTTGCATCCTGAGTCCCCTCACTTTCGCCGACCTGGCCTGATCCCCAGCAGTGTGCCCTGCTGGCTTGGGGCTGAGGGACATCAGTGGCTCAAAGATAAAAACAACAACAACAACAACAACAAAAAACGTGGCAGGAAGAGAAGTGCCACAACCTGTTGAAAGAAGGATGGTGGTTATCAGAGGCCAGTGAGGAGGGCAAGGAAGGACAGGGGCCGGTTGGGCAGTGGGGACCAAGGTTGAGTAAGTGTCTCGTGTGCTACACAGAGTGCATCTTTCAAACACCTGGAAGAGATTTTGAGTGTTTGCAGCCTGTGAGACGGATGTGTGCTGTGGTTTGACCATGGTAGACAGTGTGTGCCCGCATCTGAAGATCACGTGGTGCTCTGTGAACGTGCACCATTTTGATGCATTTGCCTTTCAGAAGGTAAAAACTACGATGTGAAATGGATTAAAAGGCGTCTGACTCGCTGGTAAACACAAATCTGCAGTATAGTTTGGGGGGCACAGGTGCTGCCTGGGCAGCTGGGTGTGGTCACGTGTCCGGTGTGCCTGCTCGGGGTTTTATGTAGGCAGTGCTGGCCACAGAGTTTGTGTATACATGACAACGTGGCTCCCCATTCACAGAGCAGGAACCCCGTGTGACCGCACGGGTCGCACAGCCTGAAGCTACCCCCCTACCCAAACCCTCTTTCTTTCTTTGGCAGTGTTTTACTAGGTGGGCCAGTCTGGTTTCACACACCCACCATCCTCCTGCCTCAGCCTTCCACGTGGTGGGGTTATAGATTCACTATGCCTGCCCAAGATAACACTTTCAACTAACTCTTCCACGCCAGGGGGCTGAGCCAGGAATGAGAATGAACCGACGGCTATACCCATACCCCACCGCTGAGTTAGCTTCACTGTTTGTTTTTTAAATTTAATTACGAATTTCACAGTGTGGTAAAATACGTCTCACAAAATCTGTCCTCTCACTGTGTTAAGTGCAGTTCATGCGTGCGGCCCGGCCAGTGTGGCCACCTCCCGTCTGCAGGAGCTCTTCATCCTCTGGAGCAGAAACTCTGCACTCAGCCCCCCCACTCAGCTCTGGGAACCAGCACCCCGCTTTCTCTTCCTAGTGGGCTGCTTTTGGTACCGTATCCATGTGTGATCTGTCTTTTTGTGATTGGCTTATTTCACTTGGCGTGAATATTTAAGATCAACTGCATACTGTGTGCCAGGCTTTCTGCCCTTTTAAAGGTTCAATGTATTCCTTTTGGCTGGAAGGCATTTTCTCTATCCACCTCTGTTGTATGTCTATACTCCATCTTAGCTGTCTCTGACCCTTCCACAGTGAGCTCACATGTTCTATACATAGCTGTACAGAGCATCCTTAAGATTGTATTTTGGGGCCTGAGGAGACACTTAAGTTTATATAAAGTTTCTGTCAGGTAAACCATGAGGACTTGAGTTCAGATCTCATGTGAAGATCCTGGCGTGGGGTGCCGGGAATCCCTAGGGCTTGATGGCAGACAGCCTAGCTGAATCAGTGGGTCTCAGGCCCCAGTAACGACCCTGTCTCAAAAACAAAGGGAATGGCTCCCGAGGAATAGAATCCAAGGCTGACCTCTGGACCCCACACACACTGCATGCGTGTACATGAATACCTCTGCCCCTCCATTCACCCACATATGCACAAACACCCCCTCCCCAAACACACACACACAAGGGCTGTTTTCAGTTCTTCTGATTGTTACGTAGAAGCTGCTGGATCATGTTGTGTGCCTCTGTCGTTAAGGTTTTGAGGAGTCTTCACGCTGACTCCCATACCTGTGGCACCCTCCCTCCTTCCCTCCCTCCCTCTCCCTTCCTTCCCCCCTCCCTTCTTTTTTGATAGCAGTGCCCAAAAGGTGTGAGGCTGTATTTCCTGTGACTCTGGATCTGCCCATCTTTGTCCTTACATTTGTTTTTAGTGGCCACAGCGACTGTTCTCTGCCTCTTTGCAGGAAGGAGATGACATTGCTGGAGCAGTCGGGTTCTCTCAAAGGCTCCTTGAGCGCTGAGCAGCAGCTGTTGCTCATCAGTGGCTGCGGCAACCTAGCAGAAGCAGTAGAGGGCGCCATGCACATTCAGGTGAGTCAAAGCCGGGCCTCACAGGTCAGGTTTAGCATTTGGAAGCGAGAGGCAAGATGCAACCGGGGAAGATGTGCACTTTTTTTTTTGTACCTTCAAGGTCAGAATTTTGTTTTGTGTGACAGGAAACAGGGTCATCAAAACATCCCTTGTTCAACTGCTCACCAAACTATTATGACTGTGTCTTAAGAGTTGTTAGAATATTGAGGAAGAATGTAGGGATTTTGGACTGGTAACACTGTTTTATTTTGTTCTGTTGCTTGGAACTTGCTATGTAGGGCAGGCTGTCCTCAGACTCACCGTTCTGTCTCAGGAGTGGGGAGATTAAAGGTGAGGGCACCAGGTCTGGCTTTCACACAGTCTTAAATGGACACATTGTTGCTCTAGTAAGTAGAAAGTTGGAGGAAGTCACCTAAAAGAAAATCTTTCATTGGCATCTAGAGTTTTAGGTAACTTAACTGAAAGGGAAGGTGGGGAAGAATTCCCCTAGACACTGTTTGCTCTCCATTTGCCTGGAGAATGGCAGTGGTTGCTTGAGGCAGAGCCCGGCCTCTAGGGGCTGGGACTGAAGCCTCCCCACCCACTGTCCCCACTGCTCAGGTGCCCACCCTGCAGGCAGTCCCTGCCCCTGTCTTAAATGCAACTGTCACTTTGCACTGTAAGCTTGGGATGCATTGCCTAAAACTCAAAGGCTATTTCTGATACTCCCCAGTGTTGGTGTGCTAAAGGGAAACTCTGAGGACGTGGAGAAGCCAGAGAAGCCAGAGAGGCCGTGTGTGTTTTGAGTGTGGACCTTGTTCCAGGAGGCTGGCTCCTTGTCTCTGTGGCTCTGAGTTCTCCACTCCCTTTACCAAACATGTGGCTGAGTAGAGGAGAGAACTGTTCTCAGTTCCCCTCTTTCTAGAATACAGCAGTCCCATGGACCAATGGTTTCAGTTACCTGTGGTCAAGAAGGGTCAAAATATGATTGGTTCAATGGCGAAGATAGCACAGTCACATGACACTTTTTCACTGTATTGTTCTATGCTTCTTCGCTGTTCATTATTGCTGTTAGTCCCTCACTTGATGAATTGACCTTTCTCGTATACCTGCATGTTTAGGAAAGACAATATGAGTAGTGTTTGGGACCCTCTGTGGTTTGGGCACCCACAGGGTGTCTTGGGATATCCCCCAGTAGATTTTGGGGGATTGTTTCCTCTCCCTTTCCTTCTTCCTCCCCAACTGTGCCCCCATACCTTCCTTTTTGAGACAAAGTCTGTGTAGCTCGGGCTGACCTGAAACTTGCCAAGTAGCTCAGGATGGCTTTGAACTTGCAGCAGTCCTTAGTGTCCTGAATGCTGGGATTACAGGCACAGGCACCACACTCAGCTGCCTGTTCATCTCCGTCTCTTGGCTTGGAATAGGCTATATGAAATGCAGGGCCCTGCGAGGGGCAGAGGGTGTCTGGGAGCTGGCAGACGTCCTGTTTCCACAGTAGCTCCTCAGGCTTGCATCTGGAGGGCACAGAAGCCATCTAGGTCTGGTCTTTGTGCTTCAGCTTCTTCCTGTGAGTTTAACTTTGAGGCAAGTGTGTACTTCATATCCTGGGCTTGCCAGGGGGAGGCAGAACAGTTCAGACAGTGGCAAAGACAGGAGGGAACCGCCTTTTCAGAACAAACTCAAGTCGGACAGGCCTGCAGACAGTCTTCGAAGTGGCTGGGAGGCTTTGATATTAACTTCTGAGCTCCACTCTTCCTAATTTGCATGAGGGTGCTCAGCTCACTCTAGAGTGGTGTGAGGATTTCCATGTGAGTATCTCTCTAAAGTGACTCTCCTGGAAGGCAGGGCTGTACTCACCTTAAAACTCACCTCATTGGGGGTTGATTTGATGTAGTTACTGTCAAAATCCCAGGCTTCTCAGGAGCCTCATAAAAACAGTGTTTTCTTTGCATAGCAACTGTCTCCATCCTCCTTTGGCCTTTAAATACTCTCTCCATGACCTGTCACAGCCAACACAACAAATGTGCTGTGTGCTTACACTGTTCAGCTAAGGGGTGAGAGTAAGAACAGTCTGTATACACATGTGTGCACATTTTTCCCTTCATATTTTCAATCTGAAGCTTGTTGAATCCCTGGAACCAGCTAATACAGGAGCACAGCCACATCTCCATAAGTAGCAGAACTGCTATATTAGGATTATATATACATCTGATTTAGTTATAGAGTGTGATCTGAAATGAGGGTATGTGATGTAGCACTGTAATAGTTCCAGTTTCTATTTTCACGAAGCATTTTGGTGCTGGCTCCCACCTGGTATCTCTTACTTTCAGTGAATTATCACATCTTGGGTCTTTCTAGCCAGGTGCCCAGAGCACAGCATCTTTACTACTTCCGGGATGCGCATAAGTACAGCTTTTAATTCATCCATGAAATTTTAACCTCAGCCACACATGGTGGTGAGTGGTACTCCCTGCTCCTGAGAGCAGGAGGCAGGCGCCGCTCGAGGTAATGACTTATAGTGAGAACCCATAGTGAGTTCAAGGCCAGCCTGGACCCTGTGAGACCATCTCAGCCTTCCCCAAAACCTCCACCTTCCCCGAAATAGAGAGAAATAGAATTTGTCACATCTTCAGTTACCAATTCTCGGTCGATCATTGATGTTGTTCTCTTCTCTAGCAGGCCGCTTGCAGTTCGCAGTGAGGCAATGCCATGTTGCTCCCTTTGAAAGCTTATTTACATATATCCCAGTAGTATTGCACATAATGTCACACCCCAGGGATAATGAATATGTCTGTGCTCAAAAGCTTTCTTGCTATGTTTTCCATGCTGGCCTTGAATTTAGAGTTTTAGGTAACGCTCCGTGGCCTCAGCCTCCCGAGTGCAGGAGTACAACCAGGCCTGGGACTTTCTTTGACTTCTCTCTCCATTTTTGAAAAACAGTCTAGCAGATAATTACCATAGCCATCTAAAAAGCATATGTGGAGCTGGAGAAATGGCTTCGCAGTTAAGAGCACTTCTTGCTCTTTCAGAGAATCCAGATTCAGTTCCTAGCAACCACTTAGTGGCTCACAACCACTGGTAACTCCAGTTGTAGGAGACCAAACACACTCTTTAGACTTACATCCATCCATCCAAAAAAACTCTCATACACATAAAACAAACAAAAAAAAAATAAATGAAAAAATATTTTAAAAAACGAAAATCTTCAATAACATGAAGACATTGTAGTGGCTCGGATATAAAGTCAGTCCTTTAAGGGAAAATCTTAAGGGGACATAATGCTGTCGTATAAGGTCCTTGGCCTAGCAAATGCTTCATAAATGATAGTTATCTTATAGATTACATATTGTATAATTTGTGTACAATTTTTGACAACAAATAAATGGCGTGGAGCAAGAGATGGCTCTGGCTACGCAGCTGAGGCCATAACTAAGGTCTGCTCCTGTTTTCCAAGTAACGAGTGTGTTTATGCTGAGCTCTGTCTGTGACGTGGAACACCAGAGCTGGGAGAGGAGGGGAATGGAGCGGGGTGATTCAGACCCTACTAGGTTTAATTCCTGTAAGAGACTGCATTGGGAAACCATCTCCAGGAACTCAGAGACAGAGAGAATGGGTAGGGTTGGGGGGGTTCGAGGCAGAGGATTTGACAAGTGGAGTTTGGGGAGGGGAAGGGGGTCAGGGTTGGGACAGTATTCAAGAAGAGAGGAGCGGAAGAGATGATTGTGTATGTCCTGGGAGGTTAGTGTGACCGAGACAGGTGCAGTGGGGAGGAGAAAGTGCCAGAGGCAGGAGGTGATTCAGGGTGGTTTTTAAATGCCAGCTCAAGGCTTAGTTACTAACATTTCTAACATGCCAAGGGCAGTAATAATGCTGGGGCACTCAGTGTTTTCCTTCAGAAACAGAATTTGGGTCATAATTTATATCCTGAATAGAATCTTCCGAAAAGGATGGCCAAGAGAGGGAAACTAATCAGAAGGGAAGGTGGGAGGAAAATACATGGAAATCCCATTTGCCAGATGACTGATTTTCTTGGGCATGTTTGCGTAGGTTTTGTCTTTTCTTCTCTCTCTCTTTTCCTTCCTTCCTTGTTGGTATAATGTTCTTTTAGAACGTATACAATTTAAATACCCACAACACTTCCTTCTTTCCTTCCTTCCTTCTTTTTTTTTTCTTAATTTCTTTCTTTCCTTTCTTTCTGAAGATTGGTTCTTATCCTGTAGTCCATTCAGTTCAAGCTAGCCTGAAACTCACTATGTAGCCTAGGCTGACCCTGAACCCAAGGACATCCTCCTGCCTCAGCCTTCTGAGAGCACAAGCCACTACACTTGACTTGTAGTTTCTTTACACAGTAATTTAAAAAATTCTTATTTCCTTGTAGCATTGGATATCAACACCAGGGCATTGATACTGCTGAGTCTTCTACTCCTGAGCCACATTACATAAGTTCTCCATTGCTGAGCTACATCCCACGTCCTTGTTTAGACCAGGTCTTGCTCTGTAGTGAAGGCTGTGATCTTGAACTTGTGATCCTCCTTCCACCATGCCAGGCAAATGATAAACTTAGTAATCCAAAGTCTGTAATTAGTACCTGTCAATGTTTCAACTTCTGTTTACCAGGCAAACGAATGAACAAATGAATACCCCCCCCCCCCATAGAAAAACCAGTAATGCTGCGCTACATGTTTTAAAGAGTATGTTAATGTTTTTAATATCCGGGAATGTTAAATATACAACTTGGAGAAGGCTGGGTGTGGTGACTCCTATAATTGCACCATTTAAGAGGCAGAGGTAAGGGGACTGATGCAAACTTGAGGCCAGCAAGATCTCACTTCAGAAACAAACACTTATGTATATACTTACACACACACACATCTCAGCGAGAACTAAGTGTTTTCTTGGGTGCATTATCCTGAAACAAACCCACCTCTTGCTATTTTTAATTTCCTCAAGACGGTATCAAATAGAGGTGAAGTGTTTGGATGTAATTTTCTATCTATGAATGTCAGGAAAGCTGAAGCTTC